GGCCCCGGCCTTGCCCCTCGCGGGCTTTGCTGTTAGCCTCGAGATCCTTTAGGGAGAGCTTGGGTTTCCTTTTGGGGAGCTCGGGAACTCGGGCCTCTCTTTGAGGAGCTCAGGAGTTCGGGCCTCTCTTCGAGGATATGGCCGTGCTAAGTCATCGTGCCGAGCTGCCAGGTCATCTTGTCTTCTTCCACGTGTCGCACAGCCAAGGGGTCAGGCCAAATCTACCTCCATCAATTAAACCATTTTGGGTCATTTATCAAAAAAAATATCATTTTTGGGTCAAAAGCCAGATCATTTATATAACATTTTGTATGGAATCATAAGGGGAAATAAAATCAATGGGCAAAAGAATACCAACCAATAGGGATGGAAATTTCCACCTTGCCTAGTGGGTATTCGCCCCTACCCTCCCCGATGGGATGGGTTTTTTCACTTGAAGGATGGATTTTGGGATTCTACTATCTGTATAAGTGTGGGTAGGGTACAATAATAGGCTAAACCCGACCCTCCTTGACCTGCATATTGTTAGAAAGCATATAAACTTTAGGGTCATTTACTGAAACACCCCTATAGTTTCATGGATTTACTAAAACCCACCTTATAGTTTTTGTTTTACTATAATAATAATAATAATAATAATAAAATGTTTAAACTTGATTTTAATAGTGATAATACTTAGTTCAAAACTTATTATTATGATTTAAATTTTATAAATCTTACCTTTTACTTTACTAATTATATGCATTAAAATACTAAATTAAAGAAAAATTATCAATTTACTTAACTAGCTCAATGGTCAAATGAGACCATGGTCTTTATAACCGTGAGTGCTTGAGTTCAAATATTTACATGCTCAATGTATTATAAAATTTATTTTCAGAGGCCAGTTTCACTAAGGCCGATTTTTGTAACCGGCCCTAGTCGGTAACATGTTGGATAGGATTGGTTCAAGGTTGGTTCCATATAGAATCTACCCATTTGCTCACCACTAATTTCTATTATAATAACCATAGTAAAAGCTCATTTCTAATCCGCTCAACTGCTACACATTTCAACCGTATCATAGTGTTCCATTTTTTTTTTCCTTTTTGTCCCTTTTTGATGGGTAAATGGACTCTATAAGGAGGGGTATCTCACCCATAAACCCCAACAAAGATGAGCCATATCATCTAGGGTTTTAAAATCGGTGTTGATTTGGATGGTTGGACCGTTCAGCCTAGAAATCAGTCAAGGTACCGTTCTGTTTTAGTACTGAACTGTCATTTTATCAAAAACCGTTGAATTGATTAATGAACCATTGACCCAAACGATCTGACCGTTGAATCGTTCGATCCAAACAACGGTTTGTGGTTTAATAGATTTTATTTAAAATTTTCAAAAAAAATAAAATAAGTATAAAGCAAAGAAAAGAGAACAGTTTGTGATCTCTCAAATCTGTGTGAGAGAGAGAGAGAGATTTGAGATTTGTGAGAACTTAAGAGAGATCTCATATTCAAAGATTTGAGATCTGAGAGAGAGGAGTTTGGCTTCAATCAGTGCAAGGCCCATTTGAATAGCCTTTACAGCCTTATTGGGAATATCTCTGTATTTATGTGCTTTATTTCACGGAGAGATCAAATTTACTATCATTATCGTTGTTGCTCACTGTTGTAGATCCCCGCCGTCATCACCTCTACAAGTCGTTGTCACCATCATTCTCATTCTCTTCTTCTTCTCAGCCCTCTTTCTTTTCCAACTTTTCTCTTCTCAGCCAACGGAGCCCTTTTCATACTCTCATTTTCAACCCCCTTCTCACAGCATCTATATCCATCTTATCTTAATATTCCAATCCAATTGGTAAGATGAGATATACATGATTTTAAATTTTTTAATTGTTAAAATGTTTGAAACATGACTTGAATGATCAAACTGTTAACCTAAAAACCAGTGGCGAAAGAAGTTTCATTTCTGGGTTGGATTTTAAAACGTTGATGTCTTCCATGCAACCAACCAGCTAGAGACCTTATCAGCAAGGTAGCGGGATCCTTCAATGCCCATGCCTCCATTAGTTGCATTTCAAAATAGAGGCAATGACTTATCACTTTATTTACTACAATGGAAATTGAAATTCCAGGGATCCACTATTTCTTGCTGTTCACTATATTTTTATTTTCTTATGGGTAAATTACATGTACTACCATTAGGGTGTTTGATCATATGTGAAGGCCTACCCTTTAACCCCTCCATTAACATGTCATTAGCTTTCGTGACAAAGGTGCTCACATAACATTACAAATTCCAAAAAGTCCATTTTACCTTATACACCTTGTATATTGTATAAATAAAAATACCTTTATTTATTTATGAAGGGACAAAAATAAAATAAAGTAAAAAATTGAGATAATAAAAATGCACTTTTAATGATTATAAATAAGTTACTTTTATCAATTTCAAAAAATATATATTATGGAGGCAAAACTAAAATTTTATTATTAAGGTATTTTATTAAAACATTTATTTCTATTTTCCTCAGTTCTGTCTCTTAATAAACCCCATGTAATTTTGTGGTTGGGAGTACAAATTGTTAGGTGAATTCAAGTGGTAGTTTGGAACCAAAAAAGGGGAGTGGTATAAGTATTTGATTGAAACTGGATAGGAATGGTATTATAGTAATCCACCATATTTTTTGAAAAATTTCTGGTAGATTTCAACAAATATTTCATGAAAGGTTGCTTGATGGCAGTCCAATAATGTACAAAAAAGGGAGAAAAAAGTTTTCCGTAGTGCAAATCAGACACTAGTGTCTCATTTTATTTCCAACACTATTTTTAAATAGGGGTTGCAAGGGAGTGTTGAACCATTGTCACTGCAGAGTTGCACTCGGGAAGGCCCATTTGGCAATGATGAGAAGGAGAAATTGAACAATGAAAGAAATGGAGAAGCCAACTTGATTTCTCCTAGCAAAGCTGTCTTGTTTTTTGGTACCATTGTTGTTTTCATCTGAAACGTTTGGAATTGATCAATACAAATTGGTGGGACAGAGATATTTTTTTCTACCTGAAATGTTCTAGATTGATTAATACAAATTGTCGTTTCTATATAAAGCATCAATTTGACTTCAATTCCAGCTAAAATAACCCTTATATGTGATGTGATAATATATATTAATTTCTCACCAAATTGTATTGATCAATTCATAACCCAAAACGTTTTGGGTAGAAACAATGGTGCCAAACACAAAGTGAGTGAAAAGAAGTAGGGAAATAACCAAACTGATTTCTCCTGTAAATTAAAAGAGAAAATCCCCCCTCCCCCAGTGTTGATAAAAAAATATGTTCATTTCTTAAACTAAAGTGGGTTTTAGTGCATCTTTCAAGTATGGTATCGCATAGACCAAAAGACCCCAAGATGAATGTGAGGAAAGACAGAAAAAACCAAAATTTGGGAAGCTTTAAATGAAGATTTTGGCTTCCACATTGAAAATAGACTTCCTGGCTGTTTTTTAACAGCATAATAGACCACAATGCTTGCCCAAGCAGTCTTTGTTTTTAAAGACAAGACCCAAAAGTTCAGTGTATCTTCTCATTTACAGTAATTATTAAAAATTATTAGTAATTTTTTCCTTACCAACCTATTCCTAACCTGATTTTTAACCCAACATTTTGGGTTGGGCTTGGGATTGGATGTATTGAGGTTTATAGCCCAACTTTTAGGTAGAATATATTAATAATACGTAGATATGTATATCACAATTCACAAAATATTTTATGGGTTCAAATTTATTAAATCTAGCTTGGGCTACCCAAGTCCAACTTGAATTTAGGTTAGGCTTAGACCTGTTCATGGGCCGGGTCGGGTCGGACTTTCACTCTGTATTAACAGAATTTTCTAAGGCCCGAGCCCAAGCCCGGTCCGACCATCGGGCCCACAACTTGGGCCCGAGCCCGGCCCTCATAAAAAGCCCGAGCCCGAAATTTAGCCCATACTGTTAACAGTTGAATAGAGAGAGAGAGATTATAAAGAAAAGAAAAAAATGTATATATTAAATTATAAATATATATTTTAATAAATATTGTATTGTTTATATAATATATAAAATACATATTATATATTTTATAAAATATATAATGTTGAGTCGGGCCGGGCCAGGCTTTTTTGACAAATCCCGAGCCCGGCCCGAAACGTCGGGCTTACTGTGTTAGGCCCGAGGTCAGGCCCGCGGGCCTATTTACATGACCGAGCCCGACCGGGCCATCGGGCTACTCGGCCCATGAACAAGTCTAGTTAGGCTTGAGTTTTTTGGCCTAAGCCCAACTTGAAATTCAAAAGCACAAGCCCAACCTATGCAAAATTTTTGGTTGAGTTGGGTCTGGCTTGTGTTAGGCCTACCCAACCCAAGCTACACCCCTAACTCCTTTTGCCTCAAGTGCATGACAAACCAAGCAATGTGCTTCACCATTTGCCTCTCTTGGCACGCAGTGGGGAAATTTGCACCAAGGTTCAAAATATCGATACGCCCGATACGCCAATAGGGGCGTATCGGGCGTTTCGATACTCGTTTGTTTACCTTTTTTTTATTTTTTTTTTCTAAACTGGTTCAAGGGAGCCGGTCTAGGACCCCTCCATCCCCTGAACCAGTTAGACCCCCGATACACCCACTGTAAGGGCAATATCGGAAGGGTCCCGAAACGATACATATTGACCGATACATAACAATACTTTGAACCTTGATTTGCACTCCCCTAATAGATGGTGAATAGAAGCGATGGAGGATCAGTACTATTTTTTCCTCCAATAGAGCTTTTATGACTACTTTATTGAGAGAGATAAGTAAAACCTTTGATTAAATATAGTAACCATACTGATTTGTGCTATAATCCATCCTTTAAGCTCCATTTGGTTGGAGTACGAATACAAATTTGTAAAGTACAAAACAAAAATGTTTGGTTCATGTGAGTGCAAAGTGGTTCAAGATTACACACCCACTTTGCACTCAGCTCATTTGTTTTGAAAGATGCAAATAAGAATACAATTTTTGTGGATGTTTGACATTTCTATCAATGCAAATACAGCTGTTTCTTGCTACCAAATGGTGTTCCACACCATTAAACAAATATAAAAAATAACAAGCTGCCCGGGCGTACAACGGGCATACAATGGGCACCTTGATAAAAAATAACAATATAAAAACAACCAGCTACTACTCCCACCATCAATGCAAATACAACGGTCTCTTCTACCAAATAAGCCAGTTTCTCTCTCCTCTTCACGCCAACGATTACTATTCTTTTTGAATAGCAACTATGGAGCGTCCAAAAGGCATAGAATTAGCTGCCCGGGCATCCTGCCACATAAAGGAACAAAAAAGAAAATAGTGACATAAACCATCCCGCATACATCAAAGTCTAGAAATAAAAGAATCCAATGGCCATGATGTTCTTCTCAATAGCCTCTTGAAAATGTTACACAACAAAATCTATGTACACTCTCAAGGCCATCATGGCCATTTCCATGTTTAAGGGAGTTAAAAAATATGATTACATCTAAGCCGAAAGCTTAAGTAGATAAAATAAATTCCCAAAAGGGGAAGCAAACAGTAAAAAAAGGTAGATGAAAGAAGTCACTAGTAAGTGGCTATCCCAAGAGGTATACCGAACATTACAATTGTAAAGTTTATGCCTATTACAGGGACCATTGTTCAATGGGTGAAAGGGAATTATTAAGCCATACCCCTCTCTCCCTTTCTCCCTCTTCCTAAAGGAAAGAATGCATTCCCCTATCCATGATTCCATGGATGGTTAGAAGAATAAATACAGCAGGCACGTTGAATTTATCAACCTCAAGGGCTTAGGAGTTCCCACCTTGGGGTTGGAGTTAGGCTGCTGCACCATGCAGCCCCCCATGGGTTACACCACTCTCATCTCTTAGAAAATAAATGTCTAAAAGCTAATCCAGCTTGGTCCAAATGAAGTTATAATAAGTAGCCAATATGACAAATAGCTGGGAGTAGGTTCTTGAAAATTGAAGACCCTCATCAAATCTAGCAACATATTAAGTAACCAAAAATAGATAAAATAATATCAAGAATATGGGAAATTTGTGAATAAACATTTTGCAACTTCTTATCTCATCCTTCAAACATATGCAGTACACAAAAAACTGTAGGACTGAAGATGATAAAACAATACCTAGAACATTTACAACATAAACCTTAGTAAGCAAAAGCACTTTCATATCTCTCCCAAATCTTTCAAAATGATTCAAAGTCTTCAATACACCCTTAGATCTGCCAGAAGTGAAATATTTCAAGAATGTGTCAGATATGTATTCAAATTTTGTACATCAACTGGGAAGTAATAGCTGCTGATCAAAAAAAAAACTGGGAAGTAATAGAAACCTAACAATAGTAAACTCATTTTTCACCAATCATAAAAATGGTAGAATATATTAACATTTATTGATAACTGGGATTCCAGTGGTGCCATAAATCCTTGGACTATTTGTTTTTCATGGGTTTATTGATAAATGAGATGTTAAAAGGTTAACTAGTAATATATTAACATTTATCAAAAAAAAAAAGAATAACAGTAATATATTAGCAGCTAATTATATTATAACAGTTATTTGGTAGATAACAAAAACTTTGTTGATTATCAGTTTCACTATGCAATTTTTTATATGCAGTATGAATGCACACACAACCATACACAGGCGGGCATATGATATAAAAGCTTGATGAGGGAGCCACTCACAGTGAAGATTTCCTTGACTAATTGCACTCATTGAGTTTCTCATTTACAACAACTAAACCATCTCTATGATTTGAAACCCCTGAATCTGCAATTAACAGCTTGTCCTTACTAAAGTGATAGAAATTGATTTCACAAAAAGAATCAAACAATATGGTGTGCAGTGTGGTGTTCATTGTTTATTGAAAAGTTTCTGTTATTTATTAAAAAATCACAAAAAGAACCAAACAATATAAACCTTACAATACATCCAGAGACATGGAAGTTTTTGGGAGAAAACTAAGAATTCAGGCATAAAATATTCATGAATATGTCTATATACCTCTTCTGTCCTTATATTCTCTTTTCTCTTTCTTGATTATCTACATTACAAATCAGGCTATAACTTTGGCTAACAGTAGAACTCTGGATACTCCATGAGWTTATACCAAAGCTTGCAGASTGGCCTCAAATCATAGAGTGTGCGGGCCGGGATGTTCACCAGGATGTTGTAGATGATTTCCTCTGCTACATTTTCCAAATCCACTCTGCACTTCTTCATACTCCTCTTTTCGCCGTTTTTAATCTTAGGACGCCATCACCCTGCTTTCGTCCACCTTCCTTACCTTTCGAATTTATAACCTGTTACATTTAGTTTTAATCAGAAAAGGAAATTCACAAACCATTACGAAAATGGCATGTCATTAAGAAAATAACAATAACAAAAACGAAGAATGAAGGAATCAAGTTATGAAGATGCAAACTTGCAGAAGAAGGAATAAGAGGAGGGATCTGGAAATGGCTGCATTCCATTTCACATAATTGATGAACATAGTGCAAATGTGAACCGAAGGAAGATTCAAGAAAACCCATAGGACGAAGAAATATCAGACATACCTCTCAGGAAAAGGCAAATCGATGGATTTGGAGTTCAGATCTCTCTTCCGACGAGGGAAGTGACCTAAAAACGAAAAGAAAATCAAAATGAGAGTTCAGATCTCTCATTACGTCGGCAGATGGATGGATTTGGAGTTCAGATCTATCGCAAACGCATAACCGAAGACAAAACAGTTGGAAACCGGTTTTTTTTTTTTTTTGCTTCAGGGAAACCTACTTATTTACTTCGATCAAAACCGTGGCAAAATTAAAGCAATATTTTCACCTATTTTTTATGCAAGCCTTGTTCTATGCACATTTTTACATCGAAAATAGGCGTACTTTTTAATTCTTACCGAACGAATGCAAATCTAAACCGGAATACAAATTTGCAACGGGCAACCTTAAATAAGATAATGTTTATGGAGATGATTGAGAAAGAAAGAAAAAGAGCAAAAGAAAACCCTAGAAAGCCGATTTAGGAATGTTCTGAATGCACCGCACCGGACCATGGGAGAAGGACCCAACCCACATCCAAAACCTATGAGAGTCATAGAAATAAGCAGTGTATAATATTTGGATCATTTATTAATAGAAATTCATGTGACATAAATCTGATGGATAAAATAATGACCTAAAAAGGAATGTTTACAACCTAAGTATATCCCAATTTGTTGTGATCCGTTTGCAGTCCTTTTCATTGCCTCTTATATTCTCTCCCATTTTAAGAATATCGAAGCCACAGACAGAGATCCATCAAACTAGGTTAATTATTGGCATTTCAATTTGTACGTAATTAGTCGCTGCATCCATCTATATCCATTAGGCTATACTATACAACAACATATTTTCATAATTCTCCAAATTCCAACCCCTGATGGCAATGGGATTTGATCCACATGTCTGGTGAAACGAGCCAACGACCTTGGTGGGAATTCGCATCCTCCCCATTCACCAATCGTAGAATTCTACGACATCAGATCATTAAATGTATTAAATTAGTCTTAGAGTTAACGGGCATCTATATTTTCCAAAAAAATATTTAAATTTTAGGAAAATTTTTTGAACATTATCCTTGTGTGTAGTCAGTCCCTCAACATCCAAATGTGTTTTTGCAGTATCTTGAATTTTCAATTTGTATCCAGTAGGTCTTTGCCATTAGTTGACAGTCAGTCAATGAGCTCCGTGTTCAAGCTCTCCATCAACAAGCTCCCATCTTCAATCTCTCCATCAACGAGCTCTCCATCAACAAGCTCCCATCAACGAGCTCCCCATCTTCAAGCTCTCCGTCCAATGAGCCGTTGTTGAAGTTCTTCGTTCAGGCTCCACTGTCCATAGCCACAATTGAAGCTCCCCACTCCACCGTTGTGATATTTAGCCTTTGAATGAACAGCTCTAGTCGATGAAAAGGCCAAAATCAGCAAATATTTTGATGAGGGCGGATTTGGCCCTCCAATGACATTGTGATACATGATACCTCAAAACAACTAGGTGATACCCGGAACCACTTTGGCAACAACTTGCCTTAGTCAAGTTGATGGTGTCCCACCTGGCGGCCTGACCCTGGCACGACCTGGTGGCCTGGCCCAGGCGCGACCTGGCAGCCTGGCACAAGCGCGACCTGGCGGCCTGGCACAGGCACCGACCTTGCGGTCTGGCACATGCGCCGACCTGGCGACTTGCAAGACATGCTTGCCGACGAATTCGACATGCATATGCAAACACTCCCACGATCCTTGGAAGTTGACCCATGTACCAAACGATCTGGAGGGTGGTCAACGTGCATGGCGGTTACCTCTAGAAATCTCAGACCAGTTAGACACGACCTCCCAGAGATCTCGGGGGCAGTACATGAGCAAGGCCTATATAAAGGCACCAACCCCAATGACAAGGGGCAAGTGAGCAAGTAAGCAAGTAAACAAGTTCTAGCTCTCAGACTTTGTGATTTTTAGCTCGCAGTCTACTATGAGAGTACTGACTTAAGCATCGGAACGACCTTGCCGGGTTAGCCACCCCGGGTCCTTTGACATTTGGTTCCTTGCAGGTCTCTAAAGAGCAACGAAGCTCATCAATTCAACTCGGCACCTAGGCAGCTCCGCACCTCACAAGCAGCTCGACCCTCTAGTCAGCTCGGCACTTCACAGGCAGCACGACACCTAGGCAGCTCCACTTCGGCCTCTGAGTCATCGGCCACATGGAAGCAGACCAAAGACGAGGTACTTAGCCCAAAAAATTGGCCATCACCAAAGATCAATTCATCAATTGGCGCTGTCTGTGGGAAACACTACAAAAAGCTAAATTCTCATCCTCCGAAAAGGCTAAGTCCTCTTCTTCCAGAAAGCTAAGTTCTACTAAAAGCTCTCACTTTCTAGTTTCCATTTTTTTTGAATTCAAAGACTATGCAAGAAGTTGATGGCTAACAGACTAAGCAACTCTACCAACTTTATTTCAACTCGGATAAAGCCTCATCAGTCCTCTTCGCGAGGTACCCTCTACAAAGATGAGCTCTTCGTGGCTTCTGCGGGAGTAGGCGGCCAACAAACTGCATGGACGCCCCTACCGGTCGAGCCTTCCAAGGCTCCCGTGCGAGCTAGTGACCTAAAGTCAATAGTGTTGCCCCCGTAGGTCGAGCTCCTAGTAGCTTCTTGTAGGAGTGGGTAACCGACATCAATAACGAGGTTGATGTAGCGCAGTTGTAGCTCTAAGGAGCCGACCTGGTGCGGCCTGGCCTAGGCGTGAGATGGTGGTTTGGCCCTGGCGCGACCCGGCGGCCTAGCATAGGCGCGACATGGCGGCCTGGCATAGGCGCGACCTGGCGGCCTGGCTCTGATGCGACCTGGCCCAAGCGGGAAATGGCGAACTAATAAAAGACCTCGGCACTACGATAAGTCCCGGTCGCCTCCTTGGCATGGGCATACAAGTCTCAGTTGCCTCTCTGGCATGGGCAAAATCAAAGATCAAGGAGAGTGCACTATGAGGCACTCCCAGAGCCTAAGGGCTAAAACACCACATAAGACCCAATCGCCTCTTTGACATGAGCAAGATAAAGGAGAGTGGACTCTGAGTCGCTCCCAGAGCCTAAGGTCCAAAATACCAAACTAGCGAAGACCTCCTCACCATATAAGACCCAGTCGCCTCTTCGGCATGGGCAAAATCAAGGAGCGGACTGCGAGTCGCTCCCAGAGCCTAAGGAATTGAATCGACGCTTACGAGCTCATCGAATTATTCATTCCGTACCAAAAGGTGAAATCTACTCCCTTCCCCAAGTTACTTTCGACTCGGGAGTGGAGGGAAATGATGAGGGCGGATTTGGCCCTCCAATGACATTGTGACACATGGCACCTTAGAACAACTAGGTGACACCCGTAACCACTTTTGCAACAACTTGCCTTAGCCAAGTTGATGGCGGCCCAGGTGCGGCTTGGCGGCCTAGCCCTAGCGCGTTCTGGCACAGGCACCGGCCTGGCGACTTGGTAGCCTGCCACAGGCGCGACCTAGCGGCCTAGCATAGGCACCGACCTGGCGATCTGGCACATGCGCCGACCTAGCGACTTGCAAGATGTGCTCATCGACGAATTCGGCATGCATATCCAAACACTCCCATGATCCTTGAAAGTTGGCCCACGTTCCGAACGATCTGGAGGGTGGTCAACGTGCATGGCGGTTACCTCCAAGAATCTCGGACCAGTTAGACATGACCTCCCAGAGACCTCTGGGGCGGTACTTGAGCAAGGCCTATATAAAGGCACCAACCCCAATGACAAGGGGCAAGTAAGCAAGTTCTAGCTCTCAAACATTGTGATTTTTAGCTCGCAGTCTATTATGAGAGTACTGACTTAAGCATCGGAGCGACCTTGCCGGGTTAGCCATCTCGGGTCCTTTGACATTTGGTTCCTTGCAGGTCTCTAAAGAATGACAAAGCTCATCAATCCAACTCACCACCAGGCAGCTCGGCCCACTAGTCAGCTCGACACCTAATAGGCAACTCGGCCCTCTAGTCAGCTCGTCACCTAATAGGCAGCTCAGCACTCTGGTCAATTCGACACCTAACCTGCCTAGCTTGGCATCCAGGTCCTCATCCAGCAGAAGTTCACTAAAGCCTCGAAGCCATCGGCCACCTGGAAGAAGACCAAATGACGAGATACTTAGCACAAAAAATTTATACATCACAAAAAATTGATTCATCAATTAGCATCGTCTGTGGGAAACGCTACAAAAAGCTAAGTTCTCATCCTCCGAAAGGCTAAGTCCTCTTCTTCCAGAAAGCTAAGTTCTCACCTTTTAGAAACTAAAAGCTCTCACTTTCTAGTTTCCATTTTTTATGAACTCAAAGACTATGCAGGAAGTTGATG